TGTAGCCACATCCGCAGAGCTCGCACCGAGCATGCTTAAACCAACGCTAAGAAGTCCAACTTCATGAGTATACCCTCGATCTAACTTGAAACTTTGGTCCTGAAGGAGTTCTAAATCAGGAACTCCTGGTGCTAAAAGACCTGCAGTACCACAGGGTCTATGCCCTACTCCAAGAATCCTAATGATCGTGTCTTGGACCCCTACAAGTGGCAGTGGCATGGTCAAGATTTGCCGAACTGGTGCCGATCCTGATCCCTACTTCCTCAACACTAAATTCTATGAATCCTAAACCCTGAACGCTAAACCTGCCCTAAACCCCAAACACTAAGCCCTATATGCTAAACCCTGAACCTAACCCCCTGAATCCTAAATCCTAAACCCCAAACCAAACATCCTAAATCCTGCAACCAAAAAACAAAAACCCTAACACTAAATCCTTGCGACTCCTAAATCCTACTGACTGCTAAATCCTACTGACCAGGGCGATCTCTGTGCTCTGACAGGGTTCTTCACCCAGAGGGTCCCCATCATATATACATACATACATATATATATATATACATATATATATCTATCTATCTATTCATCTATTTCTATATATATATATATATATCGAGAGATAGACAGATAGATAGATCGATAGATAGATCGATAGGTAGGTAGATAGGTAGGCAGGTAGGCAGGCAGGCAGGCAGGCAGGCCGGCAGGCAGGCAGGCAGGTAGGTAGGTAGGTAGGTAGGTAGGTGTATATATATATATATACATATTACCATTAGGGGTTCTATGAGGGCTCTATAAGTATAAGGGACCTATAATAAGGTTTGAATGAGGGGTATTACCCTAAGGGTCCATATCTACTACCAGTAGGGAATCGAGCCCCAAAAGACCATGGTCTTGGAGAGCTAACTCGGTGGTAGTATATATAAACCCTGTACCCTACACCCTATGAGCCCCCTACACCACTTTGGGCTTAGTTGTTTTTACGTTTCCCTTTCGAGGTTGGCCCTGAGGCTCTACATGTGGCTTTAAGGCTTCCTTCTGAGGGGTCCCTTCAAGGATTCTATAGGGGTTCCATAAGGGTTCAGGGTATAAGGATATGTACCCCAATGGTTTACACTTTGGTCTCAAAGCAGACCCTATATAAGTACTTGAGGACCTATATCCGTTCATGGTTGCTGTGAGTGGTCACGACTCGGCCTTGCACTCAGAGGCCAACATGTTGAGGCCAAAGAGTGCCTGCGACACGTATGGTTCGGTTTAGGGTGTAGGGCCTGGAGTTGACGGTCATATAAGGCTTTACTTGGAGGCCCAGGGGACGTAGTAAGTAGGTTATAAGTAGAGTTATAAGTACTCTAAATGGAGTTACCGCAATTATAACCCTACTTATAACCAACTTACTGAGTTTTCTGGGCCTCTAAGTAGGGTTTAGGGTGAGGCCTGGGGCGTACAGTTTAAAGGGAAAGTGTTAGGATCTTGGGTTTACGAAGTTTTAGCTTGCGGCCTAGAGCTGAGGACTTCAACTTGCGTCGGTGTACCTAGGTCAAAGTGGGTCTATGACTACTTCAACTGAAGCCAGAATTTACGTACAAACGCACAACAAAACCCTAAAGCCTAAAGCCTGAAGCCTGAAGCCTAAACCCTAAACCCTAAAGCCTAAAGTCTGAAGCCTAAAGCCTAAACCCGAAAGCCTAAAGCCTAAACCCCAAAGCCTAAACCCAAAAAAATCAGGATGTTGGTCTATTTGACGTACCCTAAGGGTCCAAGCACCTCATTCTCATACTTGGGATATGGGAGGGAGGTGGGTTTAGGGTTTAGGGCTTAGGGTGGGAGATGATGCGGAGGGGTGGGAAGTGGGAGGGTGGTCGGTGGGAGGTGAGAGGTGGGTGGCAGCACCGAGCCGCACCGCACCGACAGGCACATCATTGAAGCAAACCGCAGGCAAAGCCAACCGTACCAAACCGAACCGTAACACCCATGTGTAGGGTCCAATCAAAGTATGAGTGTGCACACAGAGTTGAACGAATGTGCATAAACAAATGTGGACTGTTGAAAGCAAGCCTATGCCTGGTCAATCACAACTTGAAAACCAGTCCATCCCTGGTCAATCACAACCAAAACATGCATGTTACGGCTGATGGACAACATCCTGCATTACCCACTATAAGGAATATACCATAATTCCCATAGTTTAGGGTCCTTAAGGTCATGCAGGATTTTGTCCATCAACCGTATGAACCCTTATCGCGTTCCAACACTGCGAGGAGCTCTAAGGGCTTCTAGCAAAATCTTCGGCTCGTCGCCGCAAGGGCTTAAAGGTTGCTGTCATGTAGACACGGTAATAACTAGAATAGGGCTTTGGGGTTTCTTATACTATAACTATAGTAAGGATCCCCCCCCAAAAAAAAATAGAATTGGTAGCTAATTTGGGCCCCTTATAGTAGTGCTCAGTGTTTAGGGCTTCGGGAGGCAGGCAAGGTTAAGTGACAGACACAACCCTGGTCGAATAATTCTTATGAGCGAGACAACAGCCGCACAAAAACAAATCTTTAGCCTCTCGACAAGGGAGACCATAGCGGATACTGTAAAGGATACTATGAAGGAATACTATGGAGGGATATTATGAAGAGATACTACAAGGGATACTATGAAGGGATGTTGCAAGGGATACCATGAAGGGCTGTAGAAGCGTTACTTGGGTCACTTGACAAACCCCATACAGGGCGTGACCCAGTCTTCTTGAAAGTAGGGTGGCTGTTGGGAGTTCGTTTGGTTTAGGGTCTAGGGTTTAGGGCTTAGGGTCTACAGGGCTTGATCCCATAAGTTTAGGATCTATGTCAGGGTCCATTGTGTTCTGAATCTCAGTTCCTCCGGAACACGACGCCTTGCCGCGATTCTTGCTCGTGGTGTTCGTCTCCTTAGCGATGAACCACGGCACTGGCCCTACAACCCTGGGCCTTAAACCCTAAGCCCTAGACAGACCTCATTAGAATAGGGCTCTGGGCTCCTTTATAGTATCATATTAATAAGGAACCCCAAAAAAGTATAAGCCATTATTTAGCCTCGTATATATTAAAACCCTAAACCCTACAACCCTAAGCCTTAAACCGTAAATCCTAAACCCTAAACTCCCTAAACCCTAAACCCTACAAACCTAAGCCTTAGGCCCTGGAGCTCGAAACTCGAAAGCCTTGAGCCCTAAACTCCGAAACTTGGAAGGCTGGGCCCGAAAATCCTAGGGACCCTACACCCCAAACCCTAAAGCCCTAAACCTTAAACCCATAAATAACCAATAGATCCTAAACCCATAAACCATAAACCCTGCACCCCTACAGCCTAAGCCCCCAGAACCTATAAACCCCCGCAGCCCTAAGCTTCAGAGTTGAGCCTTTTCGGCTCGGGGCTTGGCCTCGGTTGGGGATTTAGGGTATAACGAGGACTTCGTGCTTGGTCTTTTTTTGTTCTGGCTTTAGGGCTGTAAGGCTTTAGGGTTTGGATGTATGTTTCAGGGTCCAGGGTTTAGGGCTGTAGGGCTTTAGGCTTTAGGGTTTGGGATTTATGGTTCAGGGTTTGGGGGTGTAGGTTTTAGGGTTTGGGGTTTGGGATTTCTGGTTCAGGGTTCAGGGATTGGGGCTGTAGGTTCTAGGGGTCAGGGTTTGGGATTTATGGTTCAGGGTTCAGGGTTTGGGGCTGTAGGGTTTTAGGGTTTGGGATTTATGGTTGAGGGTTCAGGGTTTAGGGCTGTAGGCTTCTAGGATTTAGGGTTTGGGATTTGGGGCTGTAGGGTTTTAGGGTTTAGGATTTGGGGTTCTTTAGGGCTCAAGGTCCAGGGAATATTGCGCCCGAGCCACAGCGCCGGACCTCTACTAAGACGGCAATCTACTGGTGCACTTAGAAGATCGGCACGGAACACCAACAAGCGATCTGACGAACACTTATTATTCTCCTAAACCCTCCCAATATCCCATGCTGCAGAAACACCCCTAAACCCTACACCCCAAACCCTCTGTCGGCTCCAAATCCCAGGCCATCACCCTAAAACCCTAAGCTCTAAACCCTCCCCAAGCCCTAAACCATAGAACCCACACTCTGAAACCCTGAGCTGACTCGAAGAACCTCTCAAGTCCATTATGGAACTCTTCTAGATCTCTTAAAAGGAGCCCTCAAACTATTAAAAGCACCTTTATAGATCCTTTACAGCCCCAAAACCCAAACCCCTACACCCTGACCCTAAACCCCGAGACCCAACCCTAAGCCCTAAATCCTGTTAAAGCCCTTAAAGCCCCAACAAACATCCAAACACCAGGAGCCCGGCTGGGTCGAAATGGCTCAGCAGAACCCCGAGACCACCCATCTTGTCGATGATGCGGTTCAGATTTGCCTCAGAGATCGGAGTTAGGGCGTATAGGGTTTAGGGTTTAGGACCTTTAGGATTTAGGGTTTAGGATAGGGTCTTTCTGGGTTTAGGGCCTTTAGGGTTCGGGGCTTAGGGCTTAGGGCTGAGGGTTTGGGTTCACGATTCGAGGAGCCGACAATGGTGGTCTCTCGATCAATGGAAAGTTGGTTCTTCCAGGTCCATGGAAATCCCAATTCTGCCCTAAAAGCGGGCTTAGGATTTAAATTTAGGGCTTAGGGTTTAGGGTCTAGGGTTAGGGTTTAGGATTTAATGGGCATGGAGGGAGGCAAGGAAACTTGAATTCAGGAAGCTTTGGTGTCAAGGTGGAACATGGAGCTTCTGTTGGGTGGATCCACACCCCTACAAAACTTGGCGTGCAGGTTGGTCATTCATTGCTAGTGGCACTCGATCCAACACTCTGCACCACCTGATTGTGTCGCCAAAATCCTAAGCTTCCCGAACTGAACTCTAAACACCTAAAATGCAAGATCGCAGGCTAAGTAAACAGGTTAAGGCCTTCAACCCCAAAGGCGTGCCAACCCGGAACCCTAAATCCGGTTTAGGGTTTGGTCCTAAACCCTCACCCGCCGACAGCAAGGATCCCGGCTTTGTCATCGGTGACCTCAGATCGGGATAAGACCGGGAGATCAACACCAAAGACTCTGTGTCCCTACACTGGGCTCGTGCTCAGGAACTAGGCCCAAAACTTAAGTTAAGACGGGTATACCGTAGATTTGCATGGTATGCTTTCCGGATGACCGTAGCCCAAACAAAAATCCTTGACCCTCAACCAAAATAAGCACACCCAAAAGCCCAAACCCCAATCTATGCAGGAACCCAGTTCTGTGGTTTAGGTGCGTGAGGGTTTAGGGCCTAGGGTCCATATTGTTTGGGGCTTAGGCGTTTACGGTTTAACACCTCTTCAAGGACTTACATAGCGACATCGTATTCAGGGACCCAGAAAAATCAGGTAGGGTGTAGATGGTTAAAACTCACTCACAATTTTCGCTGAATGCTTCTGCCTGCTAAACCCTGAACTCTGAACCCCTAAACCCTTCAAGCTCAGAGTTTACGGCGTAAGCTTTAGAACCCTCAACCCTTGAAGTCTTTTAGCTTCGGGGCACTCCTAGGCCCTGGCGATGTTGTACAAGACTTTGCTGGCTCGTCCACGCATCTCAGGATCCTGGACAAGCTTAGGGTTTAGGGTTTAGGGTTTAGGGTTTGGGGTTATCGGGGAAACCGTCTAAGCAATTCTGGTCTATGGGGGTTTAAGGCTTTTTGGGTCCTCAGTGGTGTTTATGGATTTGAGGGCGTTTTGGGGGGTCTTCAAGGGTGTTCCGGGTCTAGTCTGCGAATCTGCGACGTAGACCGGTACATCACGGAGCACCCTGCACCCCTGAAGCCCTAAAGCCCTAAACCGGCTTAAACCCTGAACCCGAAATCCGGAACTGCCCAACCCGGATCTTTAATGTAGGGGCCTTGATATTTTTAGAATAGGGTTTGGGGGGATATTATACAATAACTATGATAAGGACCCCTCCGCAAAAAAAAAGAAAAAAACGATTGGCCAGTATTTTAGGATCTTTTGAACCATAATACTAATATACGGACCCCCCCAAAACAATACTATTGGCAGGTATTTTAGGCTTCTGTTTTGAACCATAATAATAATATAAGGATCCCCCAAAACAATACTATTGGTAGGTATTTTAGGCTTCTGTTTTGCATCCTAATAATACCTAAACCCTAAACCCTAATACCTAAACCCTAAACCCTTCGGCTGCTCTCTTTTGAACCCCTGGCCTCGCAGACGAGGAGGTCAAAGAGCACGGTGCTCTGCGGCACCGACATGATGAGCCGGCCATGGTCCTGCTTTTAAGGCTCCCCAAGCCACGGTTTGAGGGTCTAGGGGTTTAGGGGTTT